AGCAAGAATCTTCTGAATACGTTCTTTGGTAATATCTGGCTCACGTTAACGAACGGCTTCGAGTTTCTCCGGATCTGTAATAAGTATATACTTCAACGCCCATCTTCATTTTTGCTTTCTACAACGAGAAGTCTAGACATGCGATTTTTGGGTTCGGTATCCTCTTCGGCATTGTTTGAGAGGCGACAGTAATTCATTCACACAGCCAAACTAAAGAAAAAAAAATTTTTTAATTTAATTTATTTAATTCAATTTTAATTTTAATTTATATTACGAAATGGGTAATTATACAGAATCACTCAAGCAGCTTAAAAATCGATCAAATTAGGCTTATTCGAAGCGTTTTTGCATGAAACGAAAGAATCTGGCAGAAAAAAGTGTCGCTCTGTCCTACGAACCGAGATATTAAGCGTTAAAGTTTGAGATTTTAGAGGTTAAGATATTTGTCACTGCTTTAAAAATAACAAATTACTGCTTTAGAAACACAAAAACACTGCTTTAAAAATACAAATTCACTGCTTTAAAAAACAATTCAATTTAAAACAATAGTGGAGCCCCCCCGCAGGGGAGGCAGAACCCACTGCATCCACGCATACACTTTTAACGTAGAAGTAATATGCGTGGATACAGTATGTTCCGCTTCCTCAGTCCCTCTATGATTGTACTGTTGCTGTAGAAACAACAATTCGCTGCTTTAAAAACAATAGTGGAACCTCCCCGCAGGAGGGGCGGAACTTATTGCATCCACGCATGTAATATCTACGTTGTAAAACTGTTTGCGTGGATACAGTGGGTTCCCTGCGGGGGGACTCCACTATTGTTTTAAAGCAGTAAATTGTTTTTTAAAGCAGTGAATTTGTATTTTTAAAGCAGTGTTTTTGTGTTTCTAAAGCAGTAATTTGTTATTTTTAAAGCAGTGACAGATATCTTAACCTCTAAAATCTCGAACTTTAACGCTAAATATCTCGGTTTGTAGGGCAGAGCGACACTTTTTTCTGCCAGATTTTTTCGTTTCATGCAAAAACGCGTCGAATAAGCCTAATTTGATCGATTTTTAAGCTGCTTGAGTAATTCTGTATAATTACCACGAAATGCATCATCTAACATATTATTATGCACCATCTAATTTATTATTGATATACTAACTTATTCTTTTATAATTATCTTAATTTTATGGTATTCATTTGAAATTTTTAACCTTCGCGGCACACAGAATGCACTTCTTCACTATGTTTTGATTCTGTCATTACGTTGACAGCTACCCTAACCGCTACGAAAGCAGTGGCTCACATTCTGACAATTTTGCTGCGTTCCGAAAACCATGTATAAAAAAGCGTTGCAACCTTTTAGTCCCCGACTGTACAATTCCCTCCAATTATTTGTATGCTTTTATCGCTATGATCAGTTTTAATAAGATGAAGATACTCTAGGTATAGTACACTTTGAGTTTCAAAAGAAAAAGTTTCTCTGATAACACGTAAAAATCGATCTAATGATTCATCGTTTACTTTGCTGGATGTCGGCAAAATATTCTCCTTCACCAAAGACAATGAAGGAATATTATTATCCAGAAATTTTCTTTGTCTTGCCATATCAAGTTATATCGTGTTCGTTGTCATAACTAATAATGACACAATCATCATCATCGTCTTCTTCGATATTTACAACATTCACATCAGCAGAAATTGCCGTTTCTGTCAGCGAAATATCACTCTTACATTTTTTTTCTTCATTGGCATTATCGCTTTGATTAATCGAATATGTCCGCTTTTTCTGATTAATTTTTTTAGCTGTTTCTCGTTGCGCTTCTAGAATGTATCCTGGCTCTCTTATAGGCATATTTCTATTGTAGCGACTATCCACAATTTCTGGAAGCATGCATTCATAATAGAAGCATATTAGGCGAGGCAGCATTTTTTTTTTCCAGAAAGCATTGTCTTTATTTACGTGTACTATTTTCATGCTTCTGGGTGTCCATATCGCAAAAACGCAATACTCGCGCTTTGTTATGTTCAACTGGCCCTGAATTTGATAAAAGTATTTATGATTATGATTCATTTTCTCTGGGTATTTCTTATTAAAGATGGCTTTCAAAGGGAGCAGTGTTTTTAGGGCTTCTTCTATTGTCAAATGTTCAGCCGATTGAGGACATTTTATCTCCATGACATCGTCGTCTATTAGTCCATCAGGAGTGCAACCCAGGCATGGATTTTCAGAATCAATAAAAAATCCGCAAGATTCTATTTTTTTATTCAATTTAACAGCTAATTGGTTCTTCGCTACTTCTTCTCGATCGCGACCATATTTCATAGCTGCAGTATCAACGAGCGGAGGATATAATAGTTATTTTTGTGACTAGGGAGTAAAAGTGGTTTTTACACCCGGAGGGTGTTCGACGGCACGAGGGCTGGCGAAGCCAACCCGAGTGTACGGTCGAACACATGCAGGTGTGAAAACATTACTCCCGAGTCGCAAACAAAATTTTTCGTACTAGGGAGCTGTGAAGGTGGGGAATGAGGTTCATGGATTGTTTTGCTGAGTGGGGAGTAATTGGGTGTTATTTATTTACAATTCTCCGGGGTGTAAAATCGCATTTTACTCCCGCAAATGCGGGAGTAAAACTATCATTTTACGCGCCCTAGTACGAAAAATATTTTTCACTGTCGCTGCGCAAGATGTTGTAGGTCTCATACGACATATTGGGCCAAAATTGGATGCTGTCAACCTTTTATCTCTTAGTGAAAACCAACGTCCGGATTCTCTTTGATCAATCGTTAGTCGTTCAAGGTATTTCCAGGTTTTGGCTTCTTCCAGCAACTTGTCTAAATGCTCTTGTTGTTGTTGTTGGAATATATGATCTTCAAGATCTGGTTTTTGTGCTTGCGGACCATAATCACAACTTGTTCCAGCTTCTTTTATTTTTCTCTTCTTTCCATCTCTTTGTCGAGATTCTCTAGTTGTGGCAACTTTCTTTTGCCTCTCTTTTTCTAGTTTCTCGACAACTGGAGGAACAATTTTATTCATACCTTTATATACTTCTGTAAGGGCTTGTTGCGTATTGTGTTGCAAAACTGCTCCCGCAATTCTAGCATTGTAAGAACCTCGTTTTCCATAATCTATACGCTTTCCGCTAATTTCCTTACAGATTATCGAATTAAAGGCTTCTGCTGGATTATTCGTTAAATTAAGTAGCAGGCTATCTGAGTAAGCGGCTATGTACATGAAAATCTTCTATTTTTCCATACAGACCATGCTGTTTCAGAAACGGTACATAGTTTTTTGTTTCATGTTCACATTTTCGACCGAGTTCTTTGCACCGTTTATGCTCACCGAAAACGTGACTAGGAATGTTCCAAATATCTTTTCGTAATTGGATAGCTTTTTCATGTGGAGGTTGTATTTCTTTTTGTCGTACAGAAGATGCTTCTATTACCTCTTTGCGTAGTTTTTCTACGTTTTTCTTAACTATATTTCGTATTTCGACAAAACCACGCTTTCTTTGCGTTCTTGGCTACGTCGTTTCAGCCACGCCTAATAGCTTCTTCTTTAAATTTCGAAGCAGATGGTTAGTGCATTCTACTTTTTCTACCTTAACCATCTGCTCCTTATATGGTCTACTGTCCAAAATAACAATGTATACATTACTATCGCCGTCGGCGATAAGTAATCTATAAATGACTCCATGCATTTCGAGGCTACTTTGAAAGCCTTCTGCAATTGCATCGCTTTCCATCTTTCCAGAATTTTCACTGCGAGCAAAATTTTTATAACATTTGTGAGGTCGCGGTTCACAACCTTTTCGCTCTGCCATATCATGAATCGCACAGTATTTGTTGCGGATGCCTACAAAAAGAACCTTACCTGTGCGGTAACCAATTATGGTACCTACACCGGAAGAAGAATCGTAACCACGGTGTAAGAATAATAGGTGTATTCACTCACCTACATTTCCCCTAAAATGCTGTGACGAAAGTGAGGCAGTTCAAACACATAACACTAGATGGCATAATGATCTAATACCTAACCTAATAATCTACAGTCTGAGAAGTTCTGATGAGAAATTCTCATCAGAATTACTGCTTTTCTGATTTTTAGTTTGTATCATGCCATATAAATATTGTGTTATTCCTAATTGCGTTCAAAGATATAAGTGCAGTAAGAAATCTGTTGGGGAAACCTTTGATATTTCCCCTTGTGAAACTGCGTCACGTGCGTATGCGTACGCTAATTATATCTCGCTTTCGATACGTGGATTGCACGCACGAAAATAAATGCAAAAAACCACTTGATGTGTTGAAAAATGCTCTTTATTGCAATGCTATTGCTGCTATGAAGCTGCGTGAGAGACTGACTTGCGCGGGAATCACGCTTCTTAACGGAAAAACGTAAGGCTAGGTAACGAACACAAAGAAAATACACTAGAATGTGGCGCTGCGGAACATACTCGAAACTAGTAACTTAATAATCTACAGATACATGCGAACGCTCGAAGTAATGTAGGAACATTCGCGGGAAACTTAAGAATTATACGCAACATATACCGCCGCCCTTGAAAGCTTCGGCTTTCAATAATAAAAATAAAAATAGGAAGTCTGCATCTCTATTATGAAATAGGTAAACTACATAGTTTTGTAATATGACGTTTATACAGTCCTTTGGCCGTTCGAACAGTTACAACACGTACAATTCCATCATGCCCAGGATGGACGCTCTCCACAAGAGCTAGAGCCCAACATAGAGGTGGTAAATTTTCTTCTCGTAATATCACCATTTGCCCCACTTCTTCCTGAGCTTCAGAGGTATTCCATTTGACTCTAACTTGACAATTATGTAAATATTCGTTAATCCATCGACGCCAAAAATGCTGCTTTAACTGTTCGACTCTTTGCCATCGCGACAATCTATTTGTCCGAATATTTTCCAAACTAGGCTCGGGATAGGCCATGATCGGGCCTCCCACTAAAAAATGCCCTGGAGTGAGAGCATTAAGATCGTTAGGATCATTTGAAAGAGGCATAATCGGTCTGGAATTTAGCACAGCCTCCGCTTGAACTATGTATTAAAGTGAATAACTCATCATATTTCAAAGCTGCCTCCTTAGTTAAATGTTTCAAATGAGATTTGGCACTTTTTACAGCCGCCTCCCAAATACCACCCATATGCGGAGCTCTAGGTGGAATAAACTGCCACTTTATTTTTTCGCTTGTCATCAGATTGTTGATTCCTTGCTTGACAATGTCGTCAGTAAACAATTTATACAATTCATTAAGCTCATGCTTAGCCCCGACAAAGTTTAAGCCGTTATCTGAATGCATCTCCGCAGGACGTCCTCTTCTGGAAATAAAACGCTTAAGAACATTTAAAAAAGTTTCTGAAGAAAGGTCTGCTGCAAGCTTTATATGAATCGCCTTCGTAGCTAAACACACAAATACCGCTATATAACACTTTATTGTTTTAGTACTTCTTTTTTGACCTTCCTTATACCAAAACGGTCCTGCGTAATCTACGCCGCATCTTTCAAACGCATAATGCACCGAATTTACTCGCGCTTGCGGCAAATCCGCCATTAATGTTGTATTTATTTTGGGTGAATTACGAAAACATGTTACGCATTTACTTAATATACTACGAATGATGCTTCTGGCCGATGTCGGCCAATAATTTTGACGAATGGCTGATAAAGTATCTTGCGCTCCAGCATGTAAATGACGCTTGTGTTCGCGTATGATAATCATTTTTGTGAAGGGATGTTTACCAGGTAACAAAATTGGATGCTTATGTTCAAATGGCACGCTAGCATGCTTCAATCGACCACCGACTCTTAAAACACCTTGTGAATCGAGAAATGGGTTCAACTTTAAAACGTTGCTGTTTTTATTTACATATTTAGTATGCTCAATAGAATTCAATTCTGCCTTAAATGAATCGCGTTGCACTAGTTTTATAAGGGTTAGTTGAGATTCCTCCAATTCATCAACCGACAATTGCGGAATTACATTATTCTTATTACCTGAATCATGAGCCCTCTTCAATTTACAATTACGTGCAAATCTTTGACAGAAGGCAATAACGCGCACGAGCGTAGACAATTTCGAAAATCGATTAAAAATGTCAAGTTGATTCTTAACCTTTGTTTCAGCTAACAAAACCGTAACCCTTCTTTCAGGTAATTCTATCTGTGATGAAGAAAAATTCTCAGAAGGCTTCATCTAATTTCAGCCATGTTGGGCCAGTCCACCATAAGTCTGATCTCTGTAAGACGTCTGGCATGATGCCTCTAGAAAGTAAATCGGCAGGGTTCTCCTGACTGGGAACATGTCTCCAAATCTTAATATTAGTAATATACTGAATCTCGGAAATGCGATTGGCTACAAATGACGTCCATTGCCGACTGCATGATCGAAGCCAACACAAAACAATACTCGAATCTGTCCATAAATAAGTTGCATCCACCGTGAACGGTAGAGAGTTTAATACCCTTTTTGTCAACTGCGCTAACAGTAGTGCGCCACACAGTTCTAAACGAGGAATCGACAATGTCTTAAGAGGCGCTACTCTAGATTTGGAACACAATAACTGAACCTCAATACTACCATCACTAGAAATGGATCGAAGATAAATACATGCACCATATGCTTGTTGGCTTGCATCTGAAAAACCATGAATTTCCCTGACTTGTACATCATCAGATGTGATAACAACCTTGCGTGAAATTTCAATACTACCAAGACTCTATAATTTATGCTCATATTCCTTCCAACGTGTATGTAATTCGTGGGATATTGATTCATCCCAATCAACTTTAGCGCGCCATAACTCTTGCATTATGATTTTAGCAATTACGATAGATGGTCCTAGTAATCCTAAAGGATCAAACATTAATGCTATTCTAGACAATATACTACGTTTGGTAGGCTCTTTTAACAATGAATGTTGTCCAATGCTTTCGAATTTGAAAATATCTGATTCACAATTCCAAATTACGCCGAGTGCTCTGGTTTCATTACCATGATCCCCAGCCAAAATGAACCTTTTCTTATGAGTTCTCTGTGTATCTCGAAGCAATGAACTATTAGATGACCATTTCCTCAGCTCAAAACCTCCTCTTTTTAACAATTCGATAGTTTGTGTTTTTATTTCCAATGCCTCTTGGAGAGTAGATGCGCCTGTGAGCAAATCATCTACATAGAAATCACGTAATATTGTCTTTGAACCGACAGGAAATGAATTTATTTCGTCTTCTGCAAGCTTTCGTATAGTCCTAATAGCGAGAAATGAGGCTGGAGCAGTGCCATATGTAAGAGTTAGGAGTTCGAAAATTCTCAGCTCATCTTGAGAAGCATTGCGCCAAAAAATACGCTGCAAATGTCGTTGAGATTCATCCTCCAAAATTTGCCTATACATTTTAGTTATATCTGCAGTCATTGCATATCGAAATGTGCGGAAACGCACTAAGTGTGAAAATAGATCCTCCTGAATAGTCGGACCAACCAATAATGCATCATTCAATGACAATCCCGATGCACTTTTGCATGAAGCATCAAATACTACTCTTAATTTTGTCGTCGTACTACTTTCTTTAAACACTGGATGATGTGGCAAGTAATAAGCTACTTCTTGATTTGTAGACAATTTTATCTCGCGCATGTGATTCAAATCAATATACTCTTGCATGAATTTTTTATATTGTGAATATACTTCCGGTTGAAAAGATAAACGCCTTTCTAATTTGAGGAAACGACGCTTTGCAATTTCATAAGACTCGCCTAACTGTTGCATTTTATCATCGTTAATGGGCAACTTGACTATGAAACGACCTTCAGGATCGCGAGAAACATTTTCTTGAAATTGTGTTTCACACCTTTGCCCTTCAGGAGTGTATTGAACTTTACATTCGGAAGCGACATCATGTTCGACCTCCCAGAATCTGGACAGACATTTTTCTAAATTATTAATTGAAGTAATATGACAGGATGCAACTGCCATGCTGTTCGAGTGTCCGTATGTAGAACCGGAAACCACCCAACCAAGTTTAGTTTTTTGTAGCGTGGGATGCGCCCTGCACGCCTTAATTTGACCTATGCAAATGAGCTGCCAAAACATCTGAGCCCCTATGAGTAAGTCGACCTCACTAGGAATATTAAAATTAGGATCTGCAAGAACAATATTTGTTGGAAGCTTAAACTCAGACATTGGACAAAATTCTTGTGGTAAGTTTTGCGTGATTTTAGGAAGGACTACGCATTCAAGATTATTCGTATACTTATTGATTCGCGATCGAAAACTAACATTAGTTATTTCCTTTGATCCAAATGTTCCTTCCGCGACTCCACAAATCGACATGTTTATTGCACGACAGTTAAGCCCCAACTTGCTCGCTAAGTTTTGTGTAATAAAATTTAATTGCGAACCGCTGTCCAACAAAGCTCTGCAGCCATGAGGCTGTCCTTGATTATCGTACACAGTAACTATAGCGGTAGAAAGAAAAATCTTAGATGCATTGACTTGAGTGCATTGAGTAACTACTGGCGATGTAGACTCTGACAATGACACATTAGTTGTTTTGGAAGAATCGTTAGAAGATTGATTTTCAATATTTGTTGTGTTAGCCTTAGACTCAAAATGTAATAACGTATTATGTGACTTTCCACATTTTCGACAAGAACTAGACATACAATCCTTTGCTTGATGTCCCTTAGCTTTCAAACAATTAATGCATAAATGTGAATTTTTTACGACTTCAAAACGTTTTTCAACAGGTAATTTGCGGAATGCCTCACATTGAAATATGAAATGATTATTTTTGCAATGAACACAAACCTGATTCGATGTGCTTACATGTGAACTAGGATTCTTGGCCTTCCGAGAACTGTTCGGAGACTCACAATTTGATCGTAATGTCAATGACTTGTTAAAGATAGCTTCCAAAGCCTCACATCTCTGTGCTAAAAAATCAGTAAGTTCCTTGAAAGTAGGTATTGCGTTGTCCACACGACTTGTCTGCCACTCTTTAACTGTAGAAGAATCAAGCTTGGCCACTACCAAATGGACCATCATGTCGTCCCAAGATTCTACCGGCCTTTGAAGGGCCTTAAGAGCTCTGAAATGTTTAAGTACGTTATCAAGCAAATTCCGCAAAGCGGTATAATTTTCCTTATGAATTGGAGTTATCTCAAACATTGCCCTAACATGTGTTTGAACTATACGCTTCTTATTATCAAAACGCTCATTAAGCAACTTCCAAGCTTCAGTATAATTATCAACTGTAATGTCAAAGGCCTTAATAACCTCAGCAGCCTTGTCCTTTAATGACGAACGTAAATAATGAAATTTTTGTATTGCTGATAGACTCGCATTATTATGTATAAGATTATCGAACGAATCATGAAACGTGCACCAATCTTCATAAGCACCCGAAAATGTAGGTAATTGAATTCTTGGTAACTTAATTTGTGACTCTGTGTTGTTTCGTGGTGCAGCTTGATTAAAATTATTATTATTAGCAAATTGAAAGTTAATATCCGCATGTTCAAGCTGACTGATACGTCGTTCATAAATCACCATGAGATGAAAGTATGCTTCCTCAAACCGAGCACGCTCTTCAGTATGTGCCGCGGTTGTGTTTGGATCATCAAGGCTCGAATCAAAATATTCAATGGATGATTGGACTTCATCGAATTGCTGAAATAAGTCCGCTAACTTTTTTTTACGTTCAATCAATTCAAACTTTGTTGCATGCTCGGCTTGCGGAGATTCTACATAACTACGCAATCGTGTGGCAGAAGCCTTTATAGTTCTTCGCCTAATTTTCGCTTCGTTTTCCGTTAAACTCATTTTGATTCGTTATGACGAATAATAAATGCAAACTTACGTGTAAATGACAAATAATAAGAAAGACAATATATGAATCGTTGTGTATGTGCTACTTAATCATGTGAAAAATGAGCTTCGTCAGACGATGACTCGATGATTGATGCCGATTGTGGTTGTGAACGCGCCTTGTCGACGTTCTTTCCTGGTTGCTGACAGGTAACCTTGTCCTTGTGTAACAATTCAACTGGCGACAATGTCCAAGATGGCTGCGATGCTGCACAATATGGCTGCTGTGCCTTGTACTGCTTGCCCAATATGTCGATGCGTGGTGCCTTAGTTCCTCAAATGCTTTATTTCAGCTTCTCAATGGCTAGAGAAAACTGACTGTTTCGACGACCACGATTACTCACGCTTCCGAGTATACAACTCGGCTTATGTGCTTTTTTACTTCGTGGAATTGTGCCTCAATACGAAGTATGCAATAATGTCCAATGCGGCAATAGTAACGACTCTCGTAATGTTCGAGAGACATCCGGCTCGAAGGACCAAAATGTTGGGGAAACCTTTGATATTTCCCCTTGTGAAACTGCGTCACGTGCGTATGTGTACGCTAATTATATCTTGATTTCGATACGTGGATTGCACGCACGAAAATAAATGCAAAAAACACTTGATGTATAAAAATGCTCTTTATTGCAATACTATTGCCACTATGAAGCTGCGTGAGAGAGACTGACTTGCGCGGGAATCACGCTTCTTAACGGAAAAAACGTAAGGCTAGGTAACGAACACAAAGAAAATACACTAGAATGTGGCGCTGCGGAACATACTCGAAACTAGTAACTTAATAATCTACGGATACATGCGAACGCTCGAAGTAATGTAGGAACATTCGCGGGAAACTTAAGAATTATACGCAACAAAATCTGTATTTCGAGTGCCAAGTAACATCAAACAACGCGAAGAATGGATTGTATTGATTCAGCATGCATATCCTGATATAAGAATACCTAAAATTTTCCTCGTTTGTGAGGATCATTTTAAGGAAAATGACATTATAACAACAAAAGTGATTAAGAATTCGGATGGAAAAGTAATATTTGAGGTAATGTTGTTATTATATTATATAAAACAAATTTACTTCTATATATGTTAATTATGATTTTCCATCATTTTTCAGCGAAAATTAATAAAAAAATTATTAAAAGATGGAGCTAATCCTTCCTTTACGTGTTCGCAAAAAAGAGAGATTTTGAATATTGACAGTGAACAGCAGCAAATAGATCAAGTCGATGAAGGAAACTTAATAGAAGACAGCAGATCAAATCAGGATAACAGTGATACAACTTTAACAATTGATCGAGATAGTGAAGGAAGCTTGATAGAAGATGGTACATCAAATCAGAATAGCAGTGATGTACCATCTTTACCTGTAGTTTTGAATTTACAATTACAACCAACCTCGCCTATGTATTGTGAAGAACAACGTAAAAATTTACTATTTTATTATGCAATAATTATATTAAGGCTGTTTATTATTATAAGATATATTTTAGAATTATTAATCGAGAAACAGAACATCTTTCAAAAATTATTACACAATGAAATTCAAGTTAACTTGCCCGACACATAACATGGGGATTTCATCGCACTTTTGAATTACGTCCGCAAATGTTATTCACTCAAGCAAACATGTCCAAGAAAAAAAATATGATTATAATGTAACGATGCACTCCGCAATGCATCGTTCCGACGATACCAGCCGCCAGAATATTTCATATTTCGCGATATTAGAATTACCGCCGTCG